CATGGATTATATGAAGATACATGTAAGGTAGGGGAAGGAAAATTTGGACATGGGGTGTTAAGGCATATGTCCCATGAATAGCTGTTAAAAAAACAGAAAACAGCTGCAGTATGAAAAAGTTCCATCTGCTGGTGAAAAAACAGTAGCGGTAAATAGGTAGAAATAGGATGAAACAAATTTACCTTGTCGGGTATTTATTGTACTGTAATGGCAGCTTCTAATCCTTATTGGGAGGATCTTATGAATCGATGTCATATCTATGATTTGGTTGCTGCAGCTCCCTCTCAGACATCACACAGTTCTTGGTTTAGGAGAGAAAGTGGCTCATGTGGCCTGAAACTCTTCTCAATAGATTCTACAATATTTATAGCAAAGCTGTATCTTTACTGTAGCACTAATATAAGCAATCAAAACAGAAAATAAACATGCTACATTTACCCTTGAATTATTAAAAAAAACTCTACACATAAAAAAGAAATGTAAACAGTAAAAAGATGTGCTTATTTAATAGTGTAGCTGTATACATTGTCTTAGTAATATTTATTGAACTATTTAAAAAAATTATTCATCAATTATTTTTTATATAAAAACTGCAAATGTGCTGGTGTGTTTGATTGGCTTGATGGAGTTTCAAGTACTGAACAGGGATTTGAAAATTTAAAATATGCTTAGTTCTTAAAATTATTCAGATTGACGATAGGATTAAACAAATCCTACTTATGACATCTGTACTTTTTCAAATAAGCTTTAAGACCATCTGAAACATAAAACTGATATTTGACTATTTGTTCTCAAGCCAAAAGTAACTTAATAATTAAGTGACCCCTAAAAATTTAAAATAATTTCTTTCCTATGTGCAAGACATTCATCATTGTTGAAAAATATGCAGATTCTCTTTTTGTTAAATCATCACTGCTTGTTTGGCCTATGGCAATACTGCCCCCATATGGGGAAAATATATATATATTTTGGACTTTGCCATCTAAAGCATGAGTTTGTGCAAACTGACCCTCTTACCGTGAGGAAAGACTGTTGCAACTTTCTGGTGCCCAAGTTCACACATCCTGTTTCAAAAAAATTGTAGAACTGCACTGGGACAATAATAGATAATGTTGAAGATGGGAACATGAGATGATATTTTTATTTTTTTCCAATCTTATCAAGGATCAGCTAGAAACAACCTGGACCAAAAGACATATATATACACATAATAACAACATGTCTAATTAATACCATTAAGTTAATCTTAACAGCCAGTTCTAGACACAAATATCCAAAGGGTGGTTAAATCCCTGTTTAAGTAACTCTTTGGTTAAATTTGTTCAATCGACCATTTAATCTCTAGCCATTAATATGCTGCACCCTTCTATGTTTACAAATGAAAGGCCAAATAGTGAAGGGAGCAGTATTCAGAAAGAGTTAGCAATTTGCAACCACACCTAAGTTGTTATTATAAAATTATTGAACTGCTGTAGACTTTTATTCGTGCTCTTAATCAGTTTGTGCCGTTATCTCAAGCGAAAGTAAGTTTGTGGTAAAAAAAAAATAAAAAATCAGATCAAAAAGTTGTGGCATTACCTAAAACAGCCCGTTGAGTCAAATGTTCCACTGAAAACAACTCTGCAAAGCAGAGGCCTAAAACCCCTTCACAGTGATGTAAAGGAGTCACCATTATAAATTCTTGATGGGACTTATTACGGTAGGTTTAAGTGGCAAGAACTATTTCACATAACTTGGGGCTAAATGTTTTTGGTTTTCTCCTGATTAAAGAGAACATAATTTCAAATATTGTCATGGTTCTGTGCTTTGTTAAGTTTTCTTTCTAACTTTTCAGTTTCACTGTGTCAGCAGTCGTTTCTCAATATGTGTGCTTTAGTGTTCTCATGTGCTCATGAAAAGTCATCAGCTTCAGGTCTAGTACTGTTCCAATTCCCAAGAACACAATACTGAGAACAGACAAAGTCCCCAGTTTTTTATTTCACCCCTCCCTCTTTACTGAGTATGCACCACAGCACCAGAGACTTCTTAATTCTCGATATCGACAGCTGTCCCAGCATGCATCATGGCAGCAGCAGCTTCCAGGCTGGCGCTCACACAGTTCACTTTTGGCTAATTGTTTCAACGATCTCCACAGTTCATGAAGCTTCATGTGAACATGTCACCACCTACTGGTGGAATGCATATCTACAGTTAGTGATAGAATCTATTTTTTTTTGCAATTGTTTTTCTTGTTTTGTTTTTTTTTTCATTTAAGTTCCTTTGAAATTTTTATTGATTGGTGTGTGTAATAAACTTTTGCAAGTTTTTGTGTGTAAAATGTCTTCAAAGAGAAAAATGATTTAAGCTACACTGTTATTCTGCCATTTTAGTGAAATAAGCTCAAGCATACATTGAAAGTGTTTGTGCAAATTGGGCAATGATAAGCAAAATGAAAGGAGGAAAACATTTTTATTCAAACATAATAGTTTTTCCACAGTTTTTGGCTTTAATCGGGTTGTAAGTTATTTGTTCAACCAATCTTTTGGTAAAACTAACAAATCCAATTTGGCAATGCTTTCACCCAATCTATGTTTTTAATAGGGCAAACCAATCCAAATTTGTTACATTAGCCAAAATACTTGTGTTTTATCAAGACTTTCAGAAGTCTGAAGTGGGTTTGGAACCAACGATTTCAGGAGTGGAAGGGCAAGTCTTAGAGCTGAAGCCACTAGCAAGTAACTCTATACAATTCACAGCAACTCTCCTACAAACTCCGACATCTTGACTGAATATTGAGGCTGTTTAAATGCCTGCCGAAGTTCTGGGCGAGCTGACCCACTTCCCGAAGTGGTCACGTGGTATGACGGGGTAGCGGGGCTTTGGATGTCTACTTTTTTGGCTCCTCCCCCAAATGATGCAAGCCTCGATGCCCACCTTGCGGGAAACACCCGCTCCACAACTCGACACACGCCTCGAAGCCTTGGATCATCTCATAACATCACTAGTATTAAGTTATAAGTCCTCTTTTCTGTTGCCGTTGTTCTATAAAAACACATTTTAAGATAATTTGAAACTTTGCTGCATAATAAAAAAAAAAATTCCTATGTTGAGAGGACCGGCGGAGCTCTGAGGCTAAAAGCAGCCGGGGCTAACCTTAGCCAGTCTGCAGCAGCCCTTTCTCGGCATAGTACCGCTGGCTCTGATGAGGATTTTTAAAAAAAAATTTTATGGCAAAATGTTAATTTGATTTGTTTTTCTCTGACTATGTTAATTATTATCCCCCCACTAAATGAAAAAAGTAAGAATTTATTATTGTCTAGAGACTATTAATAAAAGGAGGTGAAATG